GTGCTCTTCTCGAGAAGTGCTCGCGGTTAAAATGTCGTCGAGATAAGCGTAAGCAAAATCTAAGCCGCGACAAACTTGGTCGATGAAGTGCTGAAAAGTTTGTGCGACAATCTTTAGACCAAATGGCACGCGTGGGAATTCGAATAAAACAAATGGAGTTGTCACGGCAGTTTTAGGTTTGTCCGTTTCGGCTACCGGAATTTGGCTGTATGCGCGTACCAAGTCGATTTTGCTGAAGATATTTTTACCCTCCAGACTAGCGGTGAGATCCACAATGTGTGGGATCAATAGTGATCGGGCGTGGTAACGGTATTCAAGGTTCGCTAGTCGTCACAAGGAAGCCAGTCCCCCATTACCTACTTCAGCACCTTGTGTGGAGGCGACGCCCAAGGGCTGTTGGGCTGCCTGACGATACCGAGCTGGAGCATGTGGCCGAATTCAGCTCGTGCTTCACGTAGTTTGTCAGGAGCGAGCCGTAGTAGTCGTGCGCTAACTGGCTGACCACGCGTGACTATGTGGTAAACGGCCTCTGTCGTGACTGACGGAAGCTCTAAAGCTGGTCGTACCAGTCGCGGGTATTCGGAGGGTAGATTCGCATAAGCTGATGGTACACCGGCGAATCGAAAAACGGGACTGATTATCGAGGCGTCCGTAAAAATGCCTCCGACCCATAGTTTAGTACGGCAGTCTAAAACTCTGTGGCTACCAGCATCATCAAGTAAGCCAAAATGTAGAAGGAAGTCGATACAGATAATTGCGATGGGTACAGACGCAACTATGAAGCCCCACTGAAAGTCTCGGCGAAGGTTGAGGTCCAGGTTCATCATACGCTAACCGAATGAAGCTAGCGGTGAACCGTTGGCCGCACGCAGATTGTACGTAGGCTCTGAGTGTTTGTCATTTGCATTCGCTGGAATGACGCTGAATTCCGCTCCCGTGTACATGAGGAACGGATGAAAGAAAGTCGATACTTAACGTAAAACAGGCGATTTGCTTGGTTATCGACGAATGCGTTGGAGGTGCTGGTATGCGGGCTGTTCACTTTCCCTGAAGCGGCTGAGTTGTATCTAATGTAGGCAGCCTGAAACGTCTAGCACTTCCACCATATTGGCGGTAATACCAACATACTTCTTCGACGGGTTTGGTATTATCTGACTGAGAACGTGCAGGGAAATATTGCGCTTTCGTGTCGAACGAGACGTACTCGACGCGGTAACAGACGAGTTGCAATGAAACGTAGCCAAAGCGTGGTCAGCATCAGACCGTGGCACCCGCTGCTTCGAAGCCTACATTGCCGCTATCCAGCTGCGAATTAGCGCTATTTCCTCGTGTTTAGGGTCAGACCGGCCTGACGACTTGGAGCAAATATTAAACACGGTCTTCATCGGTAAGCATATGTCACCGGAGCTATTGGTCATCTGCTGTGGAAGGTTTCGAAAGCAGCGGCTGCCTTGGTAGCTAGTTCTATCAGAGACGTATCCAGAAGCATGGACAGCATTACCGGAGACGGCTCTGGGAGACGTGCAAACCACAGTTCCTTTATCCCTTCTTCACTCAAGAATAAAGGACCAGCGAAGCACTGAATTTTGTGGAGCAACGCCGCCTGCTTGCGATCTCCCAGCTTGAGAATACTGAGCTGTTCAAATCGAGCTCGTGCGCTGGGCTGTAACACTTTTAGTATTACTTGCTCCATGGTACCATCCTTTGCCTTATTCGATGTGCAGAATAGAAGGTCTGCAACCAGCGTCACAACCGCGGAAGGAAGGCGTGGGGTAAGTTGATTGTACCTTGGACCGTCCGTCGTAATGCCCTTATTTTACAGTTCGATCTGGCATTTCGCAAAGCAAACCTCTGGGATGTGTTCCATGAAACTTGGAACAGTCAAAGTAAGCATGTTTACGCTGTGAAACGACTCAGCTGCCACTTTCCAAATGTGAACCGAAAAGATAAAGGCTAAACAAAAACATGATGAAACCACTAAAATTACGCAGTAAACAAATGGATACATGTATATAATCGAGAAAAAGGAGCTAACTAACAAAAAATCCAAACGAGGAAAAATATTAAATTCACGCGTGCGAATCGCGGTCACCAATTTTTAGGACTAATACATACTAGTCCGAGACGGTGCGCGAAAGTAAGCGCGGATATCAGAAGGCAATTATAGTCGGACAAAGCGGTCTGGCTTCGATGGACTACAAGAAGACGTGGACAGATAAAGCGAGACATGAGCAACACGTTAGCGCGGGAATTTACAAGACTACCAAGTGTCGAGCCGAATGTAGGTCAACATGGACGTAATGTGAGGGGATTACCACAAGAAAGAATAGTGGTCATCAGCGAAATTGTACACAAAAGACATTAGGTCTCTTATGGGACGCCACAAAGTGGTATACCACTTCCATTTCAAGAGTAATTGAAGCGCATCTTAAAGCATATACTTAAATGTGAACGAATTAGTCCGTCTAAGTCACAATGTGCGTCTCCCATTATCTTCGTTAACAATAAAAACGGTAAACTGCGACTCTCTGTCGATTAACGCACGTCAAACGCAGTTACGTGAAAGGATTCATTCTAGTTGCCAAGAATGGTTGATACCATAGATGCACTTACTGGGTCCTGCTGATTCATCATGTTGGAAGTAGCATCCGGCTATTGGCTGACTGAGCTTTCCCAGACTACAGGTACAAGTTATCATCTATCGTTCCATGCAGTTTATGAATTACAGACGATGCCATTCTGCTTGATAAATGCCCCCGTTGCGCTTCAGGGGTTGATGTTTATAAATTGCATACAACGTTAGCATAGTTAATACCGAACCACAATTTAGCATACCTTGACGATATCACAGTGCACTGCAAAACGGTAGATGACCAAAACCGAAGTCTTCTTCTTGTTCGAAAGGGCCTAGTACAACTGGGGTTATAATGGAGACCCGTTAAACGTCAGTGATGCAAAATAGGTGAAAAGAATAACAATAAACAATCACTGAGTATTGTTTGTACAATTATCACATCCTCCACAGCTTGAATGCAACTCCAGGTTTCTGTACTTCAGCTGTGGTTTCTGTTGCAATCTGGCAGATCTTCTTGGAGGCTGAGTTTGCTCAGAATACTCCTGAGGATCTGAAACTGAATCGGCATTAGTATTTTCAGCGCACACTGAATCGAATGACAACTGACCGGAATCCTTGGATCCTATCCGGTCAACATGCCGTCTGTGTACAGAACAATCATCGAGATCCAAAATTCTAACCATGCGGTTTCCAATGTTGTTAACAATGATACCAGATGAGGGACGTAAATCATTGCCTCTGAAATAAGATACTTCAGCAGTCCCCAAGCCAAGCAGGTTTGACCTCAATGGTCTGGATTTACAAAGTTTGGCAGGTGTACCTCCAGTAGAGGAATGCACGCAATTACGGTATTGAAGAAGGAAGTTATCAACACAACGATCAAGTTCATCAAAAGTAGTAGGAGCATAGGAGGTAATAGAACGTTTTAAGGTTGCAACAAAGTTTTCCGCTAGGCCATTAGAACATGGATGTCATGGAGCGGTAAAAAGGTGGCGACACTCAAGGCTCTGTAGCCAATTAGTAACCTCTGAAGCCGAAAAGTGCGAACCATTGTCACTTACCACAGCTAATGGGACTCTTTCTCTACTAAACACTTTTCTCAAGGCACGGACAGTAAAAGCCGAATTTGGTTTATCAGTCAGGAATACCTCCGGCCACTTTGAATAAGAATCCACCACCACTAGAGCATGGTACTTCTGCAGAGATGGTCCACAATAATCCATATGTACCCTTTGCCAGGGCTCGCATGTCATCGGCCATGGTGTCCACTTTGACGGTTGCCGTAAACTTTGGTGTTTACAGTTCGGGCAACCGGAAGCAGTTCTTCGAATATCTGCATTTAATTCAGGCCACGAGCACAAGCATCGAGCTAAAGACTTCATCTTTTCAACACCAAAATGACCGGACTGTAAATCCGTTAGAATAGCTGATCTCAAAGTCGGCGGGATAACAATGCGGTCATTTACACATAGTAATCCATCAGGTGTAACGCACAAATCATCACGACGCACATAAAATTGTGGAAACTTCCGTTTGAGAGAAACCGACCAACCACGTTTGACAGCAGAAATCACTGATACATAATACCTTCTAGTATCATTGATAAGGGCAGAACGAGAGATTGGAAGCGGCTGGGTGAGTAAACAACTCATTTCAGAATCGGTTTTAAATATCGTTGCAGTACGTGATAAGTAGTCGACGTGAGGAATGAGCTTCGCACTTCTGTGCTCGACCACATAGTTTTACGCACTAAGGGCAACACTCCACGTTTGGACCATGGCTGCTGAAGACTTAGATAAAGAACTGGAAGGATTGTAAATGAACTTCAGAGCTTCATGATCTGTCACAATGGGAGATCTGAGGCCAAACAAGTATTTGTGAAGTCTAGTGACTGCCCAGTACACAGCCAAAGCTTCTCGATGAGTCTGAGCATATCCTTTTTCAGCATTGCTTAGTCGACGGGAAATACACAGAACGGGGTGTCCATTAAGCTCTAACACAGCCCCAATACCAGTAGGTGAAGCGTCTGTGAAAAGCACAGTAGGTAATTTTGGGGAAAGGTGTGAAGAACACAACCAGATGCAAGAATTTTTAAAAGCTTCCGAAGAACATGTTCATGTCTGTCTAACCAAACAAAACTCTTGTCATTCAACAAGGTGAATAAAGGATCAGCCGTGGATGCAAAACCAGGAATGAATTTGGAATAGTACTGTAAAGCGCCCATCAGTGATCGAAGCTCGTGAACATTGGTGGGGGACTTCACATCAACCAATGGTTTTATCCGATCAGGATCTGGTTTGAATCCTTCAGAGGTGACCTGATAACCAAGACAACTGATTTCATAAACACCAATTAAGCATTTCTTAGGACTGGTATTCACATTAGCATCCTTGAAGCGAGTCAAAAGTGCCAGTAATCGGTAGTCATGTGTCGGTTTGTTAATAGCGATGTATGGGGGGGGGGGGGGGGGGGGGGGGGTGGTAGTAGGTGGGGGGTAGGAGGGGGGAAGTGTTTGGGTGGTGGTTTGGTGTGGGTTGTTGGGGGGGGGGGGGGGTTGGGTTTGGTGGGGGGGTGTGTGTTGGTTTGTTCGGGGTTGGTTTGGTTGGGGGGGGGTTGGGTGGGGGGGGTTGTTTGGGGTAGTGTTTTGAGGGTGGTGGGGTGTTTAGTGTTTATTTGGATGGTGAGGGATATTGTGGGGATGGGATATGAGGGGTTGTAGAGGGAGTATATGGTTGTAATTTGGGTTTTTGGGAGTGTGAGTGTATTAAATTTTGGGGGGTGGGGGTGGGGGGGGATGGATAGTTAGATGATGATGGGGGTAGGATGTGTGTATGAGGGGTTGTAGTGAGAGTGTTTTGAGGGGTGAAGGGGTGTAGAGTGTGTTGTGTTTGATGGAGGAAGGGTATATTAGTAGATGGATGATGAGGAGTGGTTGTGGGTATAGGGTTTGATAATATTTAGATAGGGGTGAGGGAATGAAGGTTGTAGGGGTATTGTGGGGGGAAATGAGGTTAGTGGTAGGGGAGTGTTGGAGGTGGTGATATTGGAGGAGTTGTAAGGGATTAAGGGAGAGTAGACATATGGTATTTAGAAGGAGGGGTTAAGTTTAGGATGATAAGGAATAGAAATGGATGAGGTTGAATGGGAATGTCTCTTCACCAGAGTAACCGAACATTCGTTTAATTAATGAGGAATTTGGTGTCAGTTTCAGTATGTGCAGATAATTGACACTTATTTAAGTGCGGCTGGCATAATTTGAAGCGCGTAGTATGGACGTAGCTTGAGCGAATGACAACAAATTTACACTCGCAGGTTCAATGCTTATCTAGCAGGTATGGTACAACATCCTAGTCACCGGAATGGTATGACCAGTAATACCTTTAATATGATGAGTGTAGAATCAAGCTGAGCGTCAGGGTACAGATGATCGAGACTCGTTTTAGAAATAAGAGACTCTACGCTACCGGTGTCAACAATGAAACGATGTGACATACCATTTCCGAAACGTAAAGTGTTGTATAAATGGCCACTCGTATTCACAGCCAATGTCAGCGAATGAAAATCGTCGGGCAAGTTCTCTGTGGAATCATCAACTTGTTTCACAACATTACAACGTCTGAACTGGCGACAAACACTACGAATATGTCCAACTTTCCCACAATGATGACATTTGGAATTCCGATGCGGGCAGGTATACCGTGAATGCAACTTTCCACAAGAGACACATTGTCCAATCTTTCTATCAGCTTGACCACACTTTAAACTGTCTGAATTTCTCGGTGCATGAGATAGACTAATTCCGTGTGGTTTGAAAGAGTTGATTTGCCACGGTTTTCTCTTCTCGGCATGAACTCGGCGACTGGCTGAGCCAAACAAGACTTGATGATAAACAGTCGTCTGGCTTCTTGTAATATCAGAAACATCCTGATAATGCAAACAGATGGATTTTACGTGATTCTAAGTCGGCGATGGAAGTGATAGGAGCTGACGATATAAATCGGGATTATTTATTCCAGCAATTAGGCGATCACTGAGGCATTCGTCAAGTTTGTTTCCAAATGCACAAGATGATGCTTGAGATTGAAGTTAGAGAATACAATCACGAGTAGACTGATTAGGTTGACGGATCAGCAAGTTGAATTTTACTCT